AAAAACACTTTTGTTAAAATGCTGCTTAATAGGCATGTTTGTTGTGATTTTTAAGATGGATTATTACACAAAAATTTTAAAAGTCTCAGTGAGCTTCTTATGTAATGGCTATCTATCAAGAGAGACATATAAATGAAGGTCCAGGCTGCTGCTGTGCCTGGGCTATTTCCCATATTTTCTGGGTCCTCACTATGGAGCAAACCCACCTCCGGACTCTCATTAATCCCTGCCCACTAGGGATATAGGCAGGGTTTCCATTGTCAGTCTCACAATAAGCTAGTAAACCGAGAGGTCTCTCTCCAGAGTTAAACATTGAGCAGCCTCCTTTTGTGCAGGGTAACTGTTGCATTTCTAAACAGAGAGAGGGAATAGAGCCAATGGACAACATTTGTGAGATGACGCAGGCAACCAGAAACTATGGTTTTCTGCATACTGTCTTGTGAACAGTCTGCCAGTCATCTTGACTCATCTCTTCAAATACCAGTTTTCTGTAAAAGGAGTTGGCACGGGCCTTTAATCCCAGCACTTGAGAGGCCCAGGCAGGCGGATCTCTGTGAGTTTGAGGCCAGCCTGGTCTAAGAGAGAGTTTCAGGACAGGCTCCAAAGCTACACAGAGAAACCCTATCTCGAAAAAAAAAAAAAACCCAAAACAAAATAAATCAATGAAGAAAGTTCCTTCAAATTTGAATGATATTCTGAATTTTGTGGACTTTTGTTTCGCTTTTGAGAAGCATTTTCAGTAAGTCATTATGCAAGCTCTCCTGAGCACTCCAGCGCCCTCATCCCCTTGTTCTTGGTGCTCCAGGTCAACGGCCTCGCTGCCTCTGCCCACAGGTAATTTCTGCAGAGTAACGAAGGTGGAGAGTTCCTAGGTTTGTTGGTAAAGAGCTCTTCACAAAGAAGAACCATTTGTTTGTCCAATTATCACATCCCAAACAGCAGAAACAAATGCCGATGACCTTAAACAAATGTCCCAGTTTCTCTACAGAAAAGACTGTGTGGTTCCTTATTTTAAAAGAAAAACCAAGAAATGAAACCAATACGTGCGATGAGTAAATAGACACAATTTAAGCTTTGCCCTTGACCCTTCACTCACGCCTGGCGGTTAACAGTGTACAAGGAAGACAAGCACTTCCTGAGTAGTGGGTTCTACCTAGGGACATTGTGAGGTGTCTGACAGCTCTGGCTGAGTTTGGGGATGATAAGGAACCTCCTTCGGCCAATGGCCTTTAAGAGGCTGGACCAGGTGGGAGCGTGGCTTTTGGGTTTCCAAAAAGTCGCTGCTGTCCTGCCAGGCTCTGCCTCGCCTCTCTTCTTTTGGAGTCATCTTGGGATTATTTGACTCGCGTTTCTCTCCCCGCCCTTCTCCCCCGTTTTACGCGTTCAGCTTCGTGAGAATTCATCACATCAGACACACCTTCCTTTTGCATGCTAGGGCCATCTGTCCTTTGGCTTTAAAAAGTCATGACCGCTCCCAGAGGATGGGGGATGATGGGAAAACTGGAGCTCCAGATGTGTCAACAGCAGGTGCAGCATCCTTTGGAAAAGTGGAAAAGGAGTGAGAGGATTTCCCTCGGGGCTACACTCCAGGTGCTCTGGGAGGGGATGCGGCCAAAAGCGCCTTGTCATTTACCAGGGTGCCAAGCTAACCAGGTGCTCTCGGCAGGAGTCGCCCTTGCAAATTTACCCTTTAGCCACCTTCTAAGTCCTGATAAAAACAACTGGCTAGCCACTGTTGCCAGGTAGCTTGGGATCTTGGTATAGAAAAGACTTTTCTGTAGGTGAATGGATTTTGTAAAAAAAAAAAAAAAAAAACATTGATCTTTTTCCCAGCAATAATGTGAAAGGATTCAATGCACCATTAGGAAGTCTCTGACCAGAACAGCTTGTTTGTTGCTCAGGAAGCTAATATTAGAGACGGGAAACAGACTTTTGCCATTTTAAACCCATGTACTTAATTATCTCCACCCTAAATCAGTTCCAGAAACAGACACAAATGAAAGTACACGCGTCTGGCCAGTGTCAGAGGCTGACCAGAAGGTGGGGAATCCCGTGCCTTGCGACCTTCTCTCAGCATCTCCGGCCTTCTCCCCCTTCCTGGTCTAGGAAGGCAATTTGACCACCAGAGTACATCATATTTGTGCAGTGCTTTTAAAACAGTGGTCCCTGTAAGGGTCTTGCTGGGATTCTGGTTTCTGGGCACTTTTTATATAACCCAGTTAATCCTAGTAGCTTTTAAAATATTTAAAACCTCGATGAAAGGCAGAATGTGGAGATCATTGGCCTCTCCAGTGGCTGGTAAGATCCGAGCTGGATTCTTACCCATCCCCTTGATGCCTTCACCCCAAGTATATTAAAAGTTACCAGGTAAGTAAGACTATAAATAACAGGAGCAACTACAGCGTGCTGGAGCTACGTTTTCCACAGGTACAACAGCGTAACCCGCTCCCCTGAGAGGCCAGTGCTGCTGAGCTGCCTGTATGATCTCCAGCTCACACGCAATCCAAAGTGCAGCCCCTCAGCTGGTGAACTGCCGCCCACCGTCGTCCCTGAAATGGCCGCACTGGTGCCGGATACTTGTGGCATCTTTTGAATTTCTGTTCTGCTTCCTGCCTCCCCACTGCCTCTCAGGGTCTTTCCTCCTCAAGTCTGCGTTCTCCGCCTTCTCCTCTAACCTCATCAGCTGCCACGAAGGTACGCTGGGAAATCATTTTTATGTTCACGTCTGAAGCTGTCATTTGCATGCAGGTTTGCCCAATGATGTGGGGTCATCTGGGTTCTCAAACATGCCGGTCATTTCTCGACTGGCACCCTTGCAAACCCATGACGCCCATGGACATTCCTGTCCCTTCTGACAACTTTTGTGCCTGTGTACCCAAAGCCCAGATGCAGCGGTTTGTTTCTTGCTCTTCCTGGACCCCTTTACCAACCGGGTAAATTTCAAATTTAGTTTGAGTTTCGTTTTGAAGAGATGAATAGCATTTTTCAAATTTTATTTACTAATTTCAAATCCTTTTGAAGTCTTACTTTAGGACAAAACATTTCTTGGGTCCGGGGGACAGCTCTGGGGCTTTGGGAAGGAACTTGGGGGCCATTCATGCCACTGGAGAGTGATAAGGCAATAAACCCAAACCCCTGAAAAATCAGAAAAAAAAATGGTGAACACAACACTGTCAGCTGACAAACGTCTCAAGGACTGCCAGGAGCTGTTTGGAGGTCTTTAAAAAAAAAAAAACGAAGCTTTCATCACAAGGGAGAGCTATACTGGTGGGAAGGGGAGCATGAGGGGGCTTTGAAAGTCACCACTATCAGCAAACAGAAAGAGACAAATGGTGATACCTCAGCTTGCTTTCTTTTTAATCAATGGGAAACCCCAGTCCATGGGATGTGCAGTCCACATTCTGGAAGGATCTTCTGTCTTCACGTAAATGTCTCTGAAGACATAATAAGAAATGCTCTCGAAGACATACCCAGAGGTGTAAAGTGTCCTAGGTGAATTCACATCCCATGACAGTTAACCATCGCAATGTCAAACCTTATTTGGGAAGAGTACAGGAAAGGCCAAACTGCCCCTCCTGATGGCGTCTATTTGATTTGATCTGTCACTTTCTCTTCCAAACCTTCGCTTGCTCTCTCTCCTACAGGAAAAATATTTCCCTCACTTAAAAATAGTCTCCCTAAGGATCATGTCTTAAATACATTGCTGTGGATGGAAGTGTGATGAATACACTTCAAAAGCAGAATGAGAATTATCATATACTGAGGACATACTAAGGCCCAGAAAAAGATCCAAATGGTCTATATTTCATTGTGCCAGCTCAGCTATGATGTACTAAGTCACCACCAGACACACAGCCACGCCCTGTCACTATTGGAACTCTAGGAGGCTTTAAAGCAAGAGGATCACAAAGTAGATACTTGAAAGAGCCCCCTAAAGGCCTTGGGTCACAAGTCCAGCATTTGAGGGGAACTCCTCGCCTCCATTTCCTGGTGCCCTTGCTTCACTTGGATTCCAAATTTGTGGCGATTTCCTCTGTGTGTGTGTGTCTGTCTGTCTGTGTGTGTATGTGTGTGTCTGTCTGTCTTTGTCTGTCTGTGTGTGTCTGTACCTGCCTCTCTCTCTCTCTCTCTCTCTCTCTCCCTCTCTCCTCCTCTCCTCCCAGCCTCCCTATCATAAAGACCCTCCTTTCCCAGAGCTTCCCGCCTGTATCCTTAGCTCACTCTACTTCCGGTGTCCTTGCCTATGCTAGCACTCAGGGCTTTCTCCTACAAAGACCACGGGGCTGTGTACACCACTGTCCCAGTACCAATGTTTATTCCCTGCACATGGTGGCTGATTTACATGTTGGGCAATGATTAGTGTGTATATGATCCCAGCTTATTAGGAATCTATCTGCAGCAGCGTCTGTTTCTGTGATCTGCTACTTGCAGCTCTTCTTTTTTCTTGTATTTTCTTAACCTCATTTAAATATCCACCCTCCTATGCCTGCCATTTAAGCATCTGCTCCAGCCTTCCCACTGGATAGGAGGAGGAAATGGCTCTTCTGTGCCTCTTTTCTTCCATCAGTGGAACTTAAAGAGGTAGCAAGAACTAAGCTATGTTCTTCTGTGTCCTTCTGTCTCCTGTTGCCTCAGTTTCCCCGATTGGATTTTTCATCTAAGAGGAGGCAAGTCAGGGGCCCTCAAAGGTCATGAAATCGATGGTTTCCATTTCCTTAAAGATTTCATACTAGGGCTGGAGAGATGGCTCAGGGGTTAAGACCATAGGCTGTTCTTCTAGAGGACCTGAGTTCAATTCCCAGCAACCACATGGTGGCTCATAACCATCTACAATGAGATCTGGTGCCCACTTCTGGCCTGCAGGCATACATGCAGGCAGAACACAGTATACGTAATAAATAAATCTTTAAAAAAATTTCATACTATATAAAGACAATGTCCAGGAACTTGGGGGGGTCTTACACCATCAATGTGCAAAGTAACAGTCTCCCCACACAAGATTAAGTCATCTAGTTGTTCTTTATTCTACCATACAGCTTTATAGAGAAATACAAAGAAAATGATAGAGCACATTATCCCTACCTAAATAATTTGATATTTTTTCACCATGTAAGTTTTTGATATTTTTTCACTGTGTAAGTTTTTATTAAAGCAAGGATTTTATAATTCAAATTATGTTTCCTTGCCCAGTTATCAATTCTGCTGTAAGAACTGACATCTTGAGCTATTCAACAATAAAGAATTACAAAATTAAAAAAATGCTTCAAATGTTTCTACTTTGCTGAAATTGCTTTTCCTGGGGTCCACAAAACATGGGTTTATAGATTTTACTACTTCTGGGGGATGGTGGTGCAGATATTAAATCAGTCTACGCCGAACACTAGACCTGATATTTGCTCAGTACATAAAGTTCAAAGTTGCCTTTCCTTTTTTTATTTATTTTATATTTTTACCATTTTTTTATAATATTTAATTTTTTTCAGTGTTTAGGTATTTTTCTTCTGTGACATGTGAGTTTCTTTGTTGAGGTCTCTGATCAGTTTAAATAGGTGAGATGCCAGAGACACGGCTAACAGCTTTCTGGACAGCCTCTTTAGCTTGGTGGGCTTGGAGTAAGGCTACAGCTTCATCATCGTTAGAGCGCAGAGATTCTGGAGACTCCACCATCTGAAGTGGTTCTGAGTTATCCATCTCCAGCAACATGCCCGTGATCTTACCAGCAAGACTCGGGTGCACGGCTTGAATGAAAGGAAACAGTCTTTCACCCAACATTTGCTTTTGTTCTTGAGGAGCAGGGACCAACATGGAAGCAGTCCAAGGTTCCTGAGCCTGCGCCCTAACAGCAGGCTGCTGCGCCAGCTGCGCAGTAAGATGTTGCTGGGGGTTGCGGACTCCCGTGGCGTATTTATACTTCGGAACCGAGCGAGCAGGAGTAGTTGCTGCAGAAACGGCAGCTACTGCTGCAGGATGTTGACCCACTGTCTGTGCTGATGTGTTAGTTACGCGATGTGCTGGCACTACTTGAGGAACATGGGAAGGACCTGGTCTTACAGTACTAAGTGATGATCTAGGAGCAGCTGGGTGGATAGCAGCAGGCACATTTAGAAATGGATGAGGCCTGGTACCCGGAGCAGTCCAGCGAGCACTTGGCCTTGGTTGAGTCAGCTGGCTAGGGCAGCAGGGCACACAGTTCTGAGTCTGTGGGACAGTGGCCATGGAGTAACCTGAAGGCGCGGGTTGGTAGGGGTTCATCATAGGGTTGGGCACAGCTCTCACACCTGCCATTCTCTGCATATACTGGTTAGTGAGGTGAGCTTGACGCTCTTCTTTGCGCTGGGCTAAAGCTACATACAGTGGCTTCGTGGCCACAATTCGACCATTCATTTCGGAAACTGCTTTGGTGGCTTCTTCGGGGGAGGAGAAACACACAAAACCGAACCCTTTGCTGCGTCCCCCCTCCATCATCACCTTTGTACTGGTGATCGTTCCAAACGGAGAAAATTCTTTCTGCAGACGCTCGTCATCTATACCATCGTCAAGATTTTTCACGTAAAGGTTAATACCTTGGTATCTGATGCTCCTGTCTTGTGTCACTTGCTCAAATTTGCGCTTAAGCTCTGTGTGCCGGTCCACTTTTTTCTGAGCTCGACCCACATAAATGTGTTTGCCATTGAGTTCCTTTCCATTCATCTCCTCCACCGCTTTCTGCGCATCTTCATGCTTTTCAAAGCTGACAAACCCGAATCCTTTGGATTTTCCATCTTCATCGGTCATGACTTTCACACTTAAGACCTGTCCAAACCTGCCAAAGAGGTCACTCAGGGTCTCATCATCCATGTGGTCCCCAAAGTTCTTGATGTAAACGTTGGTGAACTCCTTGGCCTTTGCTCCAAGCTCTGTTTCCCGTTCTTTTCGAGACTTGAACCGTCCAACAAACACTTTACGGTCATTCAGAAGCATCCCGTTCATTTTCTCGATGGCTCTTTCTGCTGCCTCCTCTGTTTCAAAATGTACAAATCCATGCCCCTTGGAGCCATTCTCATCGCAAACCACCTTGCAGGAAAGGATGTTCCCGAAAGCAGAAAATGTATCATATAGCGCTTTGTTATCAATGGTTTTGTTCAAATTTTTAATGAACACGTTGCCTACTCCACTTCTGCGTAGTGACGGATCACGCTGAGACCACATGATGCGGACCGGCTTGCCCTTGATGACATCAAAATTCATGGTGTCCAAAGCGCGCTCTGCATCCGCAGGCTGCTCGAAGTTCACAGAAGCATAGCCCAGGGAGCGACGGGTTATTACGTCCCTGTACACCCGGATGGAAAGGATGGGCCCGGCCGAGCTGAATTTCTCATAGAGCATCGCCTCGGTCACATCCGGGTGCAGGTCCCCTACGTAGAGCGAAGCCATGGGGCAGCCTGGGGCGCTGGGGTTCATCTGGGCACCGCTGCCCATGGGGCAGCAGGCTGCCACCTTCTTGTGAGAGTAGCAGGGCCAGCGCTGGGCTGAGGCAGAGGCAGGGGCGGAGCGGGCAAGCACAGAGGGTCAAAAACCAAAGGGATGGAAACCTCCCCAACGGCCACAGAGCCCAGGGAACCTCAGAGCCAGCGCATGCGCAGTGCCTGGTGCGTGCTGCTCTGGGAACGAGACTGGCTGGAGAGCTGGATAGGTAAGGCATGTAAGTGGAGACCTGCTGGGCCTCTTCTGGACCCTGCTAGGAGTGGATGGACAGGAGGGTCTCAAATACCTCACTTCGTCTTTGATCTCGTGGTGATCTGCCTGCCTTAGCCTGTGAGACTGGGGACACTTTTAAATAATACATGTGTGTTCCAAGGCCACAAGGCACTCTCTACTCTCAATGCTAAGCATCAGCGAGAGGACACTTCAGGTATTTTTAAAATAAAATGTTTACTGGATCATGTTTCCACTCTTGTTTTTTTTCTAGCGTGTTTTTAGAACTCTGTGTTATATATACAAGAGCATCCTTCGTCAAGAGACATTGCAATTCATTTTGACTGTTGCTAGCAAGGACAGCGTAGAGAATGGGAAGGAGACAAATCCCTTGAGTCTGGAGAGCACACTGGTAACTGGACTGTGGACCAGTTCTGGTTTCCCAAAAAGGTACCAATCACCAACAATGGCTCTTTCTTTCTCACAGAAACAAATCATTTAATATCCAGAAGCAGTCCAAATCCATAAATTAGAGACCCATGTGATAACAGGTGAAAGCCCTTGTGAATGCAATCCTAAAGCCTGAGTTCAATCCCCAGAACCTGTGGTGGAACGAGATAACTCCCAAAGGTTGTCTGCTAATCCACACACACCTGTGCTTGCACGTACACACACACACACACACACACACACACACACACCATATATAGACACATTAAAGATAAAAAAAACTTTAGAGAATTATAAATTAGCTGATGGCCCCTGTGGATCAGGGACAGAAAGACTAGAAGGAAGAAGACAGACAACCGATGTGATGGACCTTTATGGAGGTGTTGCCTATGTTAGACTTCTGATGCTCCATACTTCCAGACCTCATGAGCAGCAATGTGAAATGCATTTCCACAGGTGAAAGAGGAGAAGCCTGTGTCTACAGCATTCCCCTTTGTCAACAGGGGCTGTGGCCATTCGTCTGCATACAACCCATGTGGCATGATTTCCTAGTGTCACTTCATGTCATATAGGAAATCGCTGAGGCTTGGCTGGGTTCTCTGGCATCAAATGTTGACCAGGTTTGGGGAGTGGGGAATCATCATCCATTTCACTAGGGCAGGTTCTGGTTCCAAACTAATCAGGTTGTTGGCAGAATCAGCTCTTTACAGGCCATCAATATGGCTTCACTTTCTAACTGAACAGTGGCAGGTGACTTCCCAGGGTTCTCTGCCCTCTGTGCAGGCAAAGAAAGCATAACAGCATGATTCTTCAGACCCAGCAAGAGGGATTGCCCTTACGAGACAGGCGTTACAACCACCGGCATTGCAATCAGTCATATACTGTAACCTTGCCATTTCCCACTGATTAGAAGCAAATCTCAGGTCCTATCTACATTCAGCATGGGGTGGCACAGGCTTGAACAAAAGGAGGGAAGAGTCCTTGGGCCATCTTAGAGTCTGTCTGCCTGTGTGTCTATGAGAACACAGACATACCAGACCAGCAGGAGTGGCATTAATGGGTAACTGCATAAGATAAATTCAGTTTTACGGAAGCATCTTTGTTTTTTTGTTTGTTTGTTTTCTTCTATTGATATTTATTGAGCTCTACATTTTTCTCTGTTCCCCTCCCTGTCTCTCTCCTATCCCCTTCAGTCTTCCCCCAAGGTCCCTATGCTCTCAGTTTACTCAGGAGATCTTGTCTTTTTATACTTTTTTATGCAAAAACAAAAGCAGTCAACTTTTTAAAAAAATAAAATAAAACAGGTTTATTTACAGTTTGAACAAACCAAGTAGGGAAAGAATCTAATTTATCTCTACTGTGTATCAAACAGTCTTGCAAATTTACAGAAAACCATGACACAAAACATAGGAAAGAAAATGTTTCTGTTAGGTTAGGAAATGCTTTCTGGAGGGAAGGTGACTGAACCACAGATAAAACAGTTAATTAAAAAAAAAAAAACCCACCTCATTTACTACCCATTTGCCAAATACTCCAATAATCCCCACTATTTTGTTTTTACCAAAGCTTCACTTTAATCTCAAATATATACATGTCTCTGGTCCTGCTACCTTGAACATCTAGAGTTGCAAAGGATGGAAATTGAGTCACTTTTAATTAAGCTCCCTTCTTCACACAAAATTGTTCGTTGGTGTCTTGCTTGGCACTGCTGGGTTTGGCTATTTAGCGTAGCTCTAATGAGGGTGTCAGCAAATTGTACAGATACACTAGCTAGGTCAAGTGATTGAACATTAAGGGAAAAATCAATTTCCTGCCCCCGATTCTTCCCTTTTAATTAGAGCCAGACTAGCAGCTGTGTGATACCCTTATTTTCAATGATGCTTCTTTCAGGGGCAAGTTTATTCCTTCTGTTATGCTTAATGGGGTGTGTTTTACAGATGTTAAGAGGATGCTTCAGGAGCCTTGAAGGGACAATGGGAGGTTGTGGTTTGACAACAAAGCACCTCATGGCCTTGTGGCCTGTGGGTGGCGGTTGGGTGTTTGAGGTGTAAGATCATAAGCTAATCGTCAAGAAGAACGTGCTCTGGGCAGGGGTAGCCCCGCATGTGTTTGTGTGCTTGCTTCAGCATCCTTTGGGCCAGTTTCCCCAAAGGTTTAGTGTGCTTATTGCATCATTTGCTTTCATTTCCAAGAGTGTTTTAGAAGCTACAGGATGGTTATGGAGCCATTATGGATTCTTTCTAGCTGTAATGGTTATGACTGCCTGTGGAAACTGCAGGGAAGGGAAACAAAAGAGTAAATAAAGACCTCTCTTAGTACCCTTTTTCTTTATTTGCATTTTCATCCACTGCACTAGGCGACCCAGCTCTGGGGAATCACTCAAGGTCGCGTTCCACATCCCTGTCACCATTCATTGTGATTAATAACCCATGTGCCTTCGAAGAAGGATTCCATGAACTTTGGGATACAGGTGAGCCACCGCCACTAAAAATTAAGGCTGACATATTTATTTTGAAGGGCAGAGTCAAGTTAATGACCCTACAAATTTCCTGACACATTAATGTAGTTTTCTCATCTTTCAAATGAGGTAACAACCCAAGTCAGTCCCAAGGAAGCCAATATTTATCTAAAAGCTTCAATATGGTATGTGCCAGGGGACTGGAAAAGCAATCCACATTAGGAAAATGGAATTAGTTCTAACTGCATTATTAAGTACTACAAATCACTCTCTTGGGCTCAGCAGATTAAGCATCCAAATTATTTTTCAACCTGCTTATGTTTCCATTTCTAAAATCATATACAATGTGGAAGAAAAGTGTTCTTATTGAAAACTATAGCTTACATATTGTACCAAAACAAAAGAAAACAAAACCGTAGGCAGTAGCTCCTCAAGTGCCTTGTAGTCAATTACTTGCATACAGTGTACTGATTGTTACTAATTTTCCTTCTGCTCATATTTTATGATGCTGTCATTTACTGTTGATTAACACCTCACGCATGTGAAGTATTCAGGCAGATACCATGGAGAAGAAAAGAAATCCCCATTTCCTTGAAAAGGCTTCAATCTGAATAATTCCATGACCTAACCATTCTTAAATCCTCCCCCAGAGGATTCCACTGCCCCTGGAATGAGATGGAAATTCTAGCCAGAGCCCTGAAGCAGTACAGGTCAATGCTGTGTATTCAGCTGACCGCTATAGAAGAAGCTGCTCCCCCCCCGCCAAAAAAAAATATATTATGCCAGCTTACCAATAATAACCGCAGGGGGGATAGCAGTTCCAAAACCCTTGTCTCCTAAATACTGAATTTTTTTTTCATTTTCCTGAACTGTGAAAATAGGAACAAGCAACCAACACATTTGTGAAAACACGGAGTGGTCCCTCAAATACATTGCCCTAGGAAATGCCGACCTAGTAATAACCTCAACTGCAAGCCACTAGATTCCAAAGAAAAGGGGCTAACTGCCTGATCCTGGCTCTGCTGAGAACTCTATGACCCAGGACAAGTGGCTTTACCTCATGGTCTTCAGTCACAAGGTGATGGGACTTGAGTAATAACTTGATGTCAGCGTTTCCCAAATCTATCGAAGTCAGGCTAAAGAGCCACACCGGAGCCTTGTTGATGAACTTTAAAGTTATAATGACGAATCTCCGTCGTCACCTTGATGTGACTGGGGTCACCTGGGAAACTGGCAGACCGGAAGCCTCTGGGGATGCCTGTCAAGGATGATCTGGATTAGAGTCAGGAAAGAAATACTACCCACCATGGGTGGCACTCTTCTCTGAGCCAGGAACCTAGACTACATAAGAGGAGAGAGAGAACTGAAGACAAGCTCTCGTCTGCTTTCAGGCGAAGGACACACTCTGAGCAGATCTCTCCAGCTCCTGAAGCCATTTCCTCCCCACTGTGATGATCTGTACCCGGCATTTAGTTTTTGTTAAGAGTGTCACATCACAGGAATAGAAAAATACGACAGATGCCCAAGCACAAGAGGCCCTGTGTGCAGAAACCATTTAGTGGAGCCATACTTTAACTTGTCTGACCCTGGAGCCCTTAGTCATGTACCACAGAGCTCATGTTCTCTGGAAATAACTCAGGAAATGATTTTCCAAATTCTTTTTTTTTTTTTTTTTTTTGCTTTAGAACTTGGTAGTTGACATTTTCCCTGATGAATGTTCTATACCTTCAATCCATGTGTTCCCTTTTAATTGTGACTTTCCACCCTCCTCAGGAACTAAGCGTGGTGGGTGGCAAATGCACGCTATTGATGGATTTATTTGGCTCTTAAGGTTAATGTATTCTAAACAGGGCTTATTTGATGTGTTTGGCAAAATGTAGCCTAACACACAATAGTTCTGGGGTGGGAAGCCATGTGCTCCGGGAACTAGGTGAAAACCACCAACTCTTCCCAGAGCCAGCCAGAAAGATGCCAGATGACATTTTGGTACCATTTGTCTATGAGAATTTTGTTCTAATAAGAAAATGAAAGACAGATT